GCTATCCAAAGACACTAGAGACAAAATTGTACACCTCCACAAGGCTGGAAAGGGCTACGGGGAAATTGCCAAGCAGCTTGGTGAAAAAAGGTCCACTGTTGGAGCAATCATTAGAAAATGGAAGAAGCTAAACATGACTCATTCTCCCTCGGACTGGGGCTCCATGCAAGATCTCACCTCGTGGGGTCTCAATGATCCTAAGAAAGGTGAGAAATCAGCCCAGAACTACACGGGAGGAGCTGGTCAATGACCTGAAAAGAGCTGGGACCACCGTTTCCAAGGTTACTGTTGGTAATACACTAAGATGTCATGGTTTGAAATCATGCATGGCACGCAAGGTTCCCCAGCTTAAACCAGCACATGTCAAGTCCCGTCTTAAGTTTGCCAATGACCATTTGGATGATCCAGAGGAATCATGGGAGAAAGGCATGTGGTCAGATGAGACCAAAATAGAACTTTTTGGTCATAATTCCACTCGCCGTGTTTGGAGGAAGAAGAATGATGAGTACCATCTAGGGGTGTAACGATACACGTATTCGTATTGAACTGTTCGGTACGAGGCTTTCGGTTCGGTTTTCGGTACGCATTTTTGAACCGAACGGTTCGTTAGACCATTTTTTCCTGCCGACCCAAATTTCGTTATTTCAAATGTAGGCACGTCACGCGTGGCAAGCGCGCTCATAGAGATGCTGGCGTGACCACAACATTGCCAACATCAACACCCAACATCAAATGGCAAATGTAATGTAAGCGGAACGAAACCACTCGTTATTGTGTGGTTGACGGGCCGTTTATCAGTTTGGACCAATGCAGCGCGAGCCGATCTTAATCATCAGCACTGTTACTACACAGCGAAATCCAGTAAAGAAAGGATTTGAATTCGCCACTGAAGTAATAACATCGCAGCGAGATCTAGTGAGAAACATTCACATTTCTCCATTATTAACGGATCAAACAGCTCTGACGTGGAAACCAGGAAGAAACATTGTGCCGTGAATGAACTATCCAGTGTCCACAGATCAGCAACATTCACCATGGGTTTACTGTAGTAACACTACTAACTGTAACCATGGAAGTTTGGCAGAAATAGTAGGCTATAATGCTTTCAAGTAACATTACGTCGGTTTTATTTTGACATTATGAATACAATTGCTGCCCTCAAATGTTAATCTGAACTAAAATAAACCTTTGTTTATAACTACTACAATATTACATTTCATTTTGTCCAAGGAGCTGTTTTGTTTTATAAGCTCATTAGAAAAGTCAAGTATAGCTCCATCATTGCTCAAAGTAAAAAAATATCATACTTTATGATGTTAGTTTTAATAAAAATATAATAAAAAAAATTAAATCAAGGAAATTTCTCTGGCATTTCTTTCTTTTTGCTGTATCGGAAACGTACCGAACCGTGACACAAGTGTATCGTATCGAACCGAACCGTGAATTTTGTGAACCGTTACACCCCTAGTACCATCCCAAGAACACCATCCCTACTGTGAAGCATGGGGGTGGTAGCATCATGCTTTGGGGGTGTTTTTCTGCACATGGGACAGGGCGACTGCACTGTATTAAGGAGAGGATGACCGGGGCCATGTATTAGGGATGTAACGATATCAAAATCTCACGGTACGATACAATTTCGATATTGACCTCACGGTACGATATTTATTGCGATATTGTGGAAAAGCTCACGGTATTGTTAAATAGCTCACGATAGTGTTTGTGATGATAATCTAAATAATAGGGCTAAGGGGAAGGGGAAGACACCCCTTAAAACCAAGAATTTTCGCGAGCTTACTTGAAACCAAGGGGTACCCAGAATGCACTGCGCAACCGGCAACAATGGCAGGCATATCATCCAGAGAGTCCCATAAATGTAAGTATTTTTGGCTTAAATGATTGATTAAAAAATTATGACAGTCTTGTTTTGTGCTCTACACAGTTATGTACATATATATTTGCAACTATGTTGTTTATTGAAATGTTTTTAACGTTTTTAAAAATCGCTAGTTTGCTACGCTAGGCTATCCTAACGTTACATTGCTGATTTGCACAATCAGGCCCACATTTCGAGATCACCCAAAATGTCCGGGATTCAGCTTTTACTTTCTACAGTCGCCATTCATTATGTGTACATTATTTGACACTGACACGTAACGTTACGTGCCAGCTTTTCAGGTGATGCATTCAGCTTCAAACGGATCCCGAACGAGACGAAAACACAGGAATATTAGCAATGCTAAAATGCACATCAACATATCACTTGTTTAGCGTTCATGTACGTCAGGAAAAAAAAAACATCTTGTCGATTTATTTTGATTAATATGTGCGAGCCTGCGAGGGAGAGAGAGCAATACAGCGCTTAGTTTTGAGACCTTTTGAGCCTTTCGCTTGCTTGGCTCCGAAGAGAGAGAGAGAGAGAGTGCGCGCGCGCGACCGGGGCTCGCTCTCTCGCTCTCTCTCTGCTCGTTCAGGTAAACATGCGCCCTGTCACAAGCGCAGCAGTTCATCTACATTTCTCTTCTCCCTTGATTTCTGCGATTTGTTGCAGACAATAAACACACTTGCAGACGGCATCTTGGAAGTTTGTGATCCGCGGGACTGTGTTTATTCCTCTTGCTTTGTGACGGACACCTGTCCTTTTAATATTGTAACCCAACCACGACGATATCGAGACACGTTTACCACCGCGATAGCGCGATATCGTCAATATCGTTACATCCCTACCATGTATTGCGAGATTTTGGGGAACAACCTCCTTCCCTCAGTTAGAGCATTGAAGATGGGTCGAGGCTGGGTCTGCCAACATGACAATGACCCGAAGCACACAGCCAGGATAACCAAGGAGTGGCTCTGTAAGAAGCATATCAAGGTTCTGGCGTGGCCTAGCCAGTCTCCAGACCTAAACCCAATAGAGAATCTTTGGAGGGAGCTCAAACTCAGTGTTTCTCAGCGACAGCCCAGAAACCTGACTGATCTAGAGAAGATCTGTGTGGAGTGGGCCAAAATCCCTCCTGCAGTGTGTGCAAACCTGGTGAAAAACTACAGGAAACGTTTGACCTCTGTAATTGCAAACAAAGGCTACTGTACCAAATATTAACACTGATTAGCTACTCGCTCTACGTTTATTTGAAATGAACAGCAAGACAACTAGAAGTTAATGTGCTTAAATGAATCACACACAGTAAACAAATCCTTCAAAAAAAAAAAAAAACGTTGCAATGAACGTGCTTTTTTAAAATAAAATCACACACAGTAAACAAAACCTTAACAAAAAAACTTTGCAATGAACTTTGCAATTTAGACGCGCAAACTGCGTGCTGGTGCGGTGAGACGTACATGCTCGGGCAGATTCGGCTTTAAGTCGTTCATCCTCGTAAAAAAAGCCGTGCACACAGCCAAGCAAAATGGGGTCTTGCCGGTCTTGCGCACCCAACGCGTCATCTTTGCCGTGCGCACCTTCGCGCTCGTGCGGACGCGCCGAGTATAAACAAGGCTTTACTCCGTGTCAGCGCGCGCTCTGATCGGTAAAGGTGCAAAGACCTCTTCCGAATCATCTCCAGCAGTACCAGCCTCCAAAGCACCACTAACTCCGCCTCCGTTTCCCTTGTAAGCTGATATTAGTATTTAAACATTCTCTATGATAAATTTGGGCGGTTATAGAGTTCTAATGACGGTGTTCAACTATAACTGTCGCTCTTACGGTTATATGATAACCGTCACACCCCTATGAATTAGTAAATTAGGATTGTCCTCTACATGACCAATATCTTATTGCATCTATCCTCTGGTTCTTATCTAAAATCCCAGTTGCTAGATTTCTGTTCTCTATCTCCCCTGGAAGCCTTGCTACAGTGTCAATCATCAACAGGCTGGTCAGTTGACAGCTGCGTCTCTGAGGAAGAATGCACACTGTCGTCCTCGCCAATGTTTCTCTTGTTGCATAATAATTTATTTAGAAAAACTGACAAGATTCAGTGCCTTTTCAAAGTCCTGCTGCTGGCATAAAGCAGTCAATCATATCTGATCTTCCTGCAATTTGTAAATGAGGATATAGCGAGGGACATCTTGGCAGGGCACATTTTTAGCCAAGTATAGCAGATAAAATGAGAAAAATGACTAGCCTTGTTTCAAAATGGTTTCTGTGAGAAATGCATTTTAAAGAAATTTTTATTTTCCCTAAACCCTCCCATACACTATGCACTAGTTTCTGGTTGATTAAAGCAAAGGCTAAAACTCATTCAATATTCTGGGCTTATCGGCTACAAGCACTCCCCGCTCTCAACACTGATTAATTGTTCCACTGCTCCTATAAACCTTGACACACACATCCATGATAATCCACCTGAAACGCGGAAATATCTGACTGCTTTTATTGTGTGTGTGAGTGAGCGTGTGTTAAAATAATAACCCCATGAACGTGTGTGATGACTATTCCAGCACCATTTACCACAAAGCACTGATGAAAGTTGACATGACATGGAGAGTGTTTTAAAATTCATAGGTGCCAGGCAGTCTTGCTTAATTGTTTCCATATTAAATGAATCCGGGTGTACGATTAGTTGGGCTTGCTTTCCTTGCCACTTCTGAGTTTGTTTTTTAATGTTTGTTTTGAATTATGCACGCAGAAAAACAAATGACACTGGCTTCTCATCAATAAATCTCATTTGTCTGCGACCACTATGGTCTAAAAAGCAAATGAGCCACAAATAAGTTGGTACATTTGAATGTAAAGTTGAACAGACTGTTTCAAGTGTATACAATCAAATCAGTGATTCAAAATACCTGTTGCCAAAGATATCAAAGAGCTAATTTGACCATATTTTGGTGACCCATTTTATTTATAAACCAATGAGCCATGTGTTCAGTAATAGTTCATTAGCATAGAAATATAAACCTGCTGCATTAAAATGAATTCTATTGATTTGCAGTAACGGGTATCATCCAATTTGTCAGAACTATGCCTTCTGTTGTAATAATAGTGTTTGTATGTTTTGCAGGCCTCTCTGGTAACCCTGCTGATTTGGAAAAGCGGCACACATCATTCGGTAAAAACTTCATCCCCCCCAAGAAGCCCAAGACCTTTCTGCAGTTGGTATGGGAGGCCCTGCAGGATGTCACCCTCATTATTCTGGAGGTGGCAGCTATTATTTCTTTGGGCCTGTCCTTCTACCACCCACAAGGGGAAGGCAACGACAGTAAGTAGTGGCTTTAAACAGAGTTTTTAATAAGTCTGTTTTAATATTGTTTGGGTTGTTTTCCTGCACTATGCAACTAAGATAAACTATTGATTTGAGAGAAAAAAAATCCGAAATAAACTAAAATCATTAATGAAAGTACAATTAATGTATACTTAAAATGTAACTTTTAGTATTTTATATACTATTTTATATAGAAATTATTTAAATATATTATGGAAATATGAATTATAGAAATACTTGTTTTTGTAGGCTTTGCACACTCATCACATCATAATGGCTGGTGGGAAAATGCAGAGCACTCTTTATGCTGTTTTTAAAAGTTTGAACTCTGGATGCTAAATTGGTTCTTCATTCAGTGGCAGATAATAATATGCTGTTTTGCAGATTAGGTACAGATGTATTTTCAGACCTCTATGGAAGAAGACCTCTTTCCATAGAGGTCTTCTTTGCATCAGAAGTGACAATGTTCTACTGGTTCCTGAAGTGATTGCTTAACTATTATTACTTAAACATGAATGCCATATTGTTCCGAATATAAGACAACCCTGATTATTAGACGGCCTCCCTTTTTCAAGATGTACCTTTTGCAAAAAGGCTTTTTGATAAAGAGAGTGCTTTTATTTGAAAATAATTTTGATCCTGCATATTTTTCAAATTTACATTTTTGTTTTGAAAGTATGGTAAATACTGGTAAAATGTAAACACTTTTTGGCATATCATAAAAATAACCTGTAGCCCATCTGAATTATATAACAATTAGGCTATCCATCCCATAGTGAAAACCATGTAGCCTAACAAAATTTCATTAACAGTAGAAGTGAAATCTTATTGTAGTTTTGAAATCTGGGTACCGTCTTATGTTTTAAAATCACATATGGGGAAAGTTTGGTCCCGTCAGCGAGCACGCAAACATGACAGTCACACTGCACACGTCTGCGGCGCATTATGACTGATCACGGCCACTCTAGTCAATGCTTGTGTTTATACCAGCCATGCCGCGACACGTTTCAGAAGCGGCTCTCTGCGCTGCTTCGCTAAAGATAGGTGCCTAGTCTATTTTTGAAGCCGCAAATACAAAATGAAAGTACAAATTAACACCGTAAGCTTTTCTTTGAATGTTCGCATTTTTAACCTCTTAACCTTCTCCAGAGCGTCGGCGCACTGAAGCGTTTTTTTATTTATTTAGTTCAAATATACTATCAGATTTAATGTTATACCTTGACAAACTATACATCATTAAAAAGATATAAGACTCAAGATTCAGTATTTGACCACTATTGTATTCTGAGAAACTTATAGTGACAGTTATGTCTTAATTTGTGTCAGGAGTTATGAAATTAAAAAAATGAGTCGATACCTTTAATATGAATTATGAGCGTCAGCCGGTCCATTCATAAAAAACACTCCGTGCTGTCGTCATGACAGCGATTCACAAAACAACGTCCCTGAGGGCTTTTAGCTCAACAATGTGCAGATGTGGAGAAATATTGATATATTCTCATAGATTCACATCATATTTCTATAGACAGGAATAATATTTATTGAATTTATACCCAAATGCGTCGATGTAATCATAATGATCGCTTCTTACTGAGATGTGCTGTGTTTTCCATTCATACCAATAGCATGGGGGCGCTATTATGTCCAATAAAAGTCCATATATGGATCATGAAGAAGACCCATAGTCATGTGACATTCCAGGACGTCACTGAGTGAAACAGAAAGTACAGAGATCGCTGTAACATGCAGATAAAGATGTTTTGAAGACAATAAACATGATTGCAATGATATTTGAGTTACCTGTGTTCTTCAAGCCATGCCAGGTATTTCATAATAATAGATTATATTTATAATGTAATGCTAATCGATATAGATTTCATCATCGTTCAGAACACTAAATAATACATTTTCTGTCTGATTTTTTTTTATCTGAAGCCAAGTTAGATCACAGAAGATTATTTAAAACACTAGACTTGCGTTATATAGTGAGTTTGGAGCGCAAACATAGTTTTAATCTCATAAATGGTCGTGTATTGATGGTGTGCTAAGCTAACATGCTAGCGGGCCCAGGCGCACCTGCCACGAGCAGTTATTGTTTTATGATTTTTTTTCTAAATAGGAATGCTTACTGAAATGTTTCAGTGCATTTGATACCAGTTTCAAATAGCTTGTGAATAGCCAGTCGTTAGTAGCTATAATGCAGACAAAAGAAATGCATATTTAGAGCCATAATAACCAGTCTGGAGAGGTGTCAATGTGTGCAGGGGAGACTGAGACTGAATGGGGCACCACAAAACAATAGAGACAATAGACTGAATAGATGACTCAGAAGATGACTAAACATCAGTTTGCTAATAGAGTCTAATCAAAATAAAGTAATTTGACATGATCTTGAAAAACATTTAACTAAATACAGAGCTTTATACTTATCATTTTCAGATTTTAAATATAAAATGGTCAGACATGTGGCTTTAGCTGCTGTGCATTTCTAGATTGCTCCAGGGCCAACTTCAATTTTATTTTCATGAAGATGTTTCATAAAAATAAATTTCTAATAACTTTACAAAACTTTGAAGCTATTTAAAATTGTTTTTTTCATTATGACAATAATTAATTCTACATTTACAATAAACAACCAGGTGTCAGCTTTCAAATGAGATCATACTTGTGCTTTTAGTGCAAAGGGTTCATGAACTGTATCTGTTTCAGTTTGTGTATGTCATTTCTGGGGATTTTTCAAAAGTGGGCTTGAAGCTTAACAGGTTAAGACTCTCTTTTTGCGCTCGCGATCTAACATTACACTCTGACACCGTATTTCTTGGCACACTCGTTTTATGCGTATTTGGCACTACCTATTGTTGCAGGTGTATTATTGACATGCAAAAGTCTAGACCGTGAATATTACAGGGTTCCTGCTGATCCTTAAAGCTCCAGTCCGTAACTTTTTTAAGTTAAAAATAAATCAAAATAATTATATTAAAAAAAACTTATTCTCAGGGCTTAAAGTATTCCGGCACCGTGCCGGATCTCCGGCGTGCGGCCGTGAGGAAAAAATGATTATTTTCGCATGCGATTCATTTTTGTCCAGCTAACGTGTTAAAATATTTAAGCAATTAAGGCAGCATCCATTTTTTCTGTCATCCTTTAGCTTGGGTTATTATGATCACGCTCTTATTCACGCAAATGCTTTAAACCGCTCATGCGCGACAAGACAAAAGAGAACGCGCTTTCAGTGAATGTCCTCGCGCGCGCACACACACACACACACACACACACACACACACACACACACACACACACACACACACACACACACACACACACACACACACACACACGCGACGCACAGAAAGACGCGCGCCAGTATCGAGTTCTTTCGCGCTTGAACGAACAATAACACACACATTTATGCCAAAATGTCAGTTTTGTCGAGTATCCTCACAAGGACAGTCTTAAATGAGTTAAATACAATCTTAAATGGAAGTAAATAGTAGTGAGAGAATGAGATGCGTGAGATCCTGTCAGCAGCGGCAGATCTTAAAGTGACAGGAGCCATTAATTCTGTCGGAAGTTAACCTAAAGAACAAAGGGAACAGAGAAAATTACTAACTGCCCTCGACTAAAGAACTCTTGTAGCTTTGATAAGGATTAATCTATATTTCATTTAAAATGTATGTGCGGACTGTTTTATAACCTTATTCAATTTCTGTATGGTACAGGTAAATGACATTTATTATGGGTTTAAGTGAGGATTGTTTTAAGTTCACTTAAATTAAAGGTTTTTATATTTTTTGAAGCCTATTGTTTAAAATTTGGGGGGAAATCATTTTCATCGAGACATCAGTAGATATAATATGAGTGATACTGGCTTTCATTCATAAAAAGACGGCATTAAGAACACCCCCCCCCCCCCCCCCCCCCAAAGTTCAGGCTCAGAAATTTTTTTCACTTTAACCCCTGTATTCTGCCAGTGGTCAAAACTATCTGCTTGCCATAGCTAGATTCAAAACGGTTAGCTTGTAATAATGATTTTAATTCCAGTGGTACTGGTGGGTTTCCGCGGGAAATTCGAGCATGTCTTTGCGTCATTACGTCACACCCGTACACATAAAGAAGGAGTTTCGGCTAGCCGGCTATACTCCGCGTGATGAGATGTTTAGATGTATAGGCTTTTCTCGCAGCACTTTACATAATTAAACTTATGGCATCCAGAAAGATCCAAACAACAATCATCAGTGTCAACTGGAGATTCAGCAGTTATAAAACCCAAAAGACTTCGTACTTCGGATTTAAGGTGGCTAGAGAAAAAGAAACCGTCTCATGCGAACACAAGGATTTAAACATCGGCGGGGCTTTTGAAAAGTGCGTGAACTCCGTGTTTTGAAGGGGTTCAAAACGGAAGAAGAGACGGCTTTTTTCTGCTGAACAAGTAAGACATTTCAATAGTTCAATTGTGTAACAGTACGTTTTCTTAATTCACACAGTTATGGAGTTTCCTTTGTTGTGCCTTTCTCGTTTTGCTATTATGGAGATATGAATTCTGAACTACACAGGTAACCATAAAACACATTAAATTTAACATTAGTCAAGCAATGCTGATGTGATGTTGTTAACATGAACAATTTGAGGACAAAGTAGGCTATAATTTGCACGGTTGCTGTAAATCGCGTTGATTAAATCTAACGAAGCTTGTCATGTCGAATGCTTTTTCCCCCTTAGTTGGTCAGAACAAAAATGGATTTTACTTACTTGTTCAGAAGACATTTTCTTATGAAAATTCTTATGTTGGTCAAACTTTCAAAAAGTGAATCTGTGATTCTGTATGATCCACACAGCGCGGTGATTGACAGCACCACTCGCCTCAAAACACTGTGTTCATCCGCGCTGTTTCATGCCGATTTACAACCCACGTAAAGATGATAATTCCGCGAATCACTGCAGTTACAGATTTCGAACAGAGAGATGGCGACAAAGAGGAAAAGCTACGGACTGCAGCTTTAAAAAGTTATAAATTAGATTTTTAAACTTTAAGGTCATAAAAAGTCTTAGTCTTATTTTTACTTATGAAAGGTCTTAAATTTTAGATGACACTTTGACTTAGACATATCTAAATGTTTTCCAAATTAGTGTACGTATTCTTTATTATTCTCGTTGTGGATTTGCTTGGTCACGTGACAATTCGCGTCATTTACGGCAGCATATTACGTCTGTCTCCTGCATGCGAAAGGAGGAGAGAAGAAGAAAGTTGGCAAGTGTCAGTTCAATTATATGTTCATTCTTTGTGCTTGAGGGTGTACGATATATGTATCGTCTATGATGATACTGTAATCATTGTTTTAACAATGTACGAGGCACTGCGAGCTGACATCACATTTGTCTCTCGTGCTTTCACTGCGTGATGTGTGCAGTTATAGGTATGTCCCCAAATGAGTTTTTGTCTCATATTGATATCATATTATGTTATGTTAGAATATCACATGAGCAAGAGTGCCGTTTTCCCGTGCACAATTGCAAATGTGATATTTATTTTATACAACAGTTAAATTAACAAGTTAACATTGTGAGTTACTTTTTAGACACCATATTGTCAATATTGTTTGTTTTCCCTTTATTTTGCCAAGGAGAATTTCAAAATGAAACCGTAGCAGTCTCCATGCAACAGACAGCGATGATCTTTTGACTGAAATCCGCGTTTTGAACGTATGAGTTTAATGATTCAATGACCCACTTGCTTCTTTCCTGAATGAATCAGCATTAAGACAGTGACTTGGCCAGTGACTTTAACTAAAACGTTAAAATTAGAAATCATTTCATATTTAAATATTGAATAAAAAAACAATCTCATCGCTTTATTTATTCAATTGACCGTTCGCAAAGACCCGCCCCCCTTAGTTACTGTTGCTATGTCCGACAAGCCACACCATTCTCACGCCACACCATGTTCTCACACAGTGAAAAATACATCGCGGAGCAGAGAGGACACTGACAACGCGCTGACAGACAGGACAGACCAGGTTACTTTTGATATGAAACAAAGTCTCAACTTTCAAATTTGGTAATTTTTTAAAAAGAAATTTAAACAATAAATACCATTTTGTGGCTCTTTAATGTGTCTGACAGATCGCTGTAGAGCCTCAGTTAAAGCTGCTCGTGAACCGATCATCTCTTCCTTTTAGTTATAGCATCAAATAAGCATGAATGAACATAAGAAGGAATGTTATTTTAACCGCGGAAAGACGTCAGTACACTTCGTTTTTCAAGTTCAAATCCTCCAACGTTAATCTACTAACTCTCCTGACTGCTTTGTCGGACAAAAATGGCGGATTCGGCCGATGGTGGATTATGATTGGTCAGATCGCCTGTCAATCAAACTCCCTGCGAAGGGTCAATTGTAAATGGAGTGTAAATATATTATTGCCAGTTCTGATGCCGCTTCTGTGTCACCTCTGCACTACAAAGATGGATTTTGATTTAATGATTTAATTTGACTGGCAACAGTGTACTGTGTTATTATTCTAATAGAATTTAATTTGAATGTTAGAATTTGACATAAAAGGTGATGCATACCTCTAAATAAGTTTAGAAAAAAAATCCATATATAGGTGAAAATACCCCTGGAAATAAATTTAAAGTGGCAAATATTGCCCCTTAATAAAAATGTTAATTTTTGTCACTGCTGTGAACTGACCACTGCATAGAATATGAAAAATATGAATATCTTCGGGAGTTTGCTGTCAACAACAGGCCTAAATTAGCCATGATATTTTAGTGATAGTGTTTTTGTACTTGTACCATCTAATTACTATTAGTAATGGGCGATAGAAACGATATGCAATATAAACGATATAAAATTGGCCTACGATAGAGATTTTAATTTGAACTCTATCGCGATAATGCATGTTGACGCAATCTACCCGCAAAATTTAGAGCCACAAGCTGCATCGCATCATCGTATACGTCATCTTGAGTAAACATGGCTGAAAGCGAAACAGAGGAGCTGGTTAAAAAGGCCGGTGCAACATCCATTATCTGGACTTGGTTCGGATTTAAGCCGTCCGACGAGCAGCAGCAAACTATACTCTGTAGGGGCAACAGTTCTGGCTAACGCCTGTTTCACACATACTCCGTTTGCAGTGCATATGCGGTGCGTATTTTTCCCGTACCCATGTTAACAGGCCTGCACGCGGATGCGGTGCGGCAATGCGTTCTAGGTGCGGTGCGTATACAGCAGTGCAGCAATCGTTTCCGCACAGAGTCTATTTTTGCTCTGCTGCACGTGCTGAATTAAAGTGACAGCGCATGGTTCATGATCAAAATGAACACGGATTGATATGAAAATATAATCTCTCAAATCCATTTTATTAAATTATACTACTATTTTTCACTGCCATTTTCTTTTAACTTTAAGCTCGGGGTAATTAAAGCAAGAAAAACAATAACGTTACCTCAACAACGCTACATAATGGATGCACTTGTCTCTTCGTGGAGGTGGAAAAACAAGTTCTTTGTGACCGCACTATTTAAATGCAAAAGAAAAGGTATGAGAGAGCTGTTTTGTCAATTGTGTATGTTTTAATTTAAAATGTTTGCGATGTTAACATAAATGTATAAATGTTTTGCCACTTGCTTGAGCAACTTAATATATAAATCTATATAGAAGTAATAATACGTTTTTAAGTGTATTAAGTTTAAACGTGAATAGTCTTGTGAAAGAGTGTAGACGTATTACTTGCCTACTGTCTGTGTACAAATAGAATCGCAATGCTGAAACTCTTTATATTATAAAAGACACTAATAATAAAAATAGTGATTTGAAATAAAAAATAGAGGATAAATGTTGTGTTTGTCGTACAGCCGTGGATTAGTTGCGCACTGCAAACACACCATATGTGAAAGCACAATAGCGTGTGCTGCTCCTGCGCCGCATACACACCGCAACACGCACTGCACACGGAGTATGTGTGAAACTGGCGTGCACTAAAGGAAAGAAACCCAATACTTGAAGCTTTTTCTTTGTTAAAGTCTCTGCAGGTAATGTACTTGAATTTTATTTATCTGCAACATTGTTGTAAAATTACAGTTTTGCATAATAAATGTTCTCAAAACTATGTACGTTTCTTTAAAAACATTTAGCAGTTTGGCTTTCCTTATGGTCTATCTAACCTGTTCTGAAATGGTTCTATTATAATTTATATATCGTGATATTTATCGTTATCGCAAGAGGCTGCAATGTATTTCGCAATATGGATTTTAGGCCATATCGCCCATCCCTAATTACTATCAACAAAACGTTGAAAATATCGAGATGTGTTTTTGTCAATATTGCACACCCCTAATGTATGGTATTCATTTTTATTTCAGGCTTTAAAAAGATCTTAAAAATCCTTAAATTTGACTTTAAAAAGTGTGCAGCAATAGCCTGACGTCATCATACTCAGATTCTAGTCAGAATGTGAGTCTGATACTGCTCCATTGGGCTGTGATTATGGGTAGTGTTTCAACCGAACCAGGAAAAAAAAAATGCCTCTACACTCAATTGGATAGACCGAATCCCGTAGGAAGGACGGCAAAAACATCTTTCCAATCGACAAATGCCTTGATCGCTGTATAGATCTTCTATAACAGACGCGATGGCTGAATCTACACATCTCAATTTTCCAGTGGCAGCCATTCTTTGTTGTAAACGAATTCAACCCAAGCGCTCTTTGGTGACGTGTATGATTACGTTACGGTTGATCATCTGTCCATCATCGTATAAAGCCCGCCCTGACAATTTGATTGGTCCGAACAGCTTTGGTTCGGGCATACTTGCTTATCAACGGATCAAGTCCGTTCCGAACTTCACATCCTCAAATGTTGTGGGCGGGGCTAAGTTCGGCTGGCATCCAGGCTAGTGCAGCAACCCTGTATAAGACAAACTTGTTTTTTCAGATGTATTTCAAAGAAAAAAACATCGTCTTATATTCGGAACAATACGGTATGAAAAAATAGAATGAATACACTACCGTTTAAAAGTTTGGAGTCAGTAAGATTTTTTTTAATGTTTTTGAAAGAAGTGGAAGAGTTTTGTAGAGCCTCTGCCTTTGCTTAACTGTACAGAAAGTAGTCTAATGTTTTTTTTGTTTTGATTCCGACTTTATTAGTGAGTCAACATTTTGGCTTATGTTTTAATAATGTCCTCATTTGGGACTTTGCTTCATAAGCACTGCTCTGAATGCCGAAGAACTTGAATTTGGCTGCGACTGCAGGCTCTTCCTATTACCCATATGGCTCAAACCACAAAGATGACCTTAGACAGTCTTCAAGATCTCCAGAAGGAAATTAGGTCAATGAAGTGTAAATCTGCGATAAAACATGTTTCTAGCAAGAGGAAACTTTCCAAAGAAGAGACTCTGATAAAACAGAAATGTGCAGCTGCTTTTGTAATTGCTTGGACCCTTAATGGTCTCTAAAGGTTGTATGAACCTATTTAAAGGTTATGTATAGTTTAGATTTGTAAGATACAGATTTTTGACAGGATGTTTTAAGGGATTGATTTTCTTGTTTTTCCTTGTTTTTCTCTTATTCCAGGCTGTGGCCAAGCAGCTGGTGGTGTTGAAGATGAGGGCGAGGCCCAGGCAGGATGGATTGAAGGTGCTGCCATCTTGTTTTCAGTTATAATCGTGGTGCTGGTGACGGCCTTCAATGACTGGAGCAAAGAGAAACAGTTCCGTGGGCTGCAGAGTCGTATAGAGCAGGAGCAGAAGTTTACAGTCATCCGCAAGGGTCAGGTCATCCAGATCCCTGTTGCTGAGATCGTCGTGGGAGATATCGCACAAATCAAATATGGTGAGTGTTCCATAATACGGTAATCCAAAATACGGTATAAACATGTTTATTTATTTCCACAATATGACGGATTTAGATGTGACACGTCACTGGATTCAGTGATCTCTGTCATATTTGGGTTTTATGAATGCAGTGGCATTTATAGAGTAAAGTTTTCCCTCCAGAACCCTTTGGCTTTTTTATTAAACCTCAGAAGCCAGTTCCTCATTGAATTCTCCAGCGGTTGTGATAGATCATATGTGACTGCCAGTCTTCTCTGAGACACAAAGCATGGCTCATGACTCATGCTTACTGGCTTGCATGAGTCACTGTGCTGCTGCTTGTGGTGCCTGCTATGTGGGCGACGCGTGGGGTGTCCAAGAGCCACAGGAGAGATCTGTCGTCATAGTCACCAAATCAGCCTTTGCTCCTCTCCTCTTGCTGAATTGCTGAATGTGTCTTTCTCTGTATTTCTCTGTCATCCCACAGTCATTCACCACCCCATGTTCTCTTCCATCAGGTGACCTTCTCCCAGCTGATGGTATCTTGATCCAGGGTAATGACCTGAAGATTGATGAAAGCTCTCTGACTGGGGAGGCCGATCATGTCCGCAAATCTCTGGAGAAGGACCCCATGCTCCTTTCCGGTGAGATGGAGTTTCCACATCCTCTTTAAAATGTTAGCTTCTGTTGTAGGGTACAAAAGAGACCACAACCTTGGATTAAACGTGGAAATATACAAAGCATTAGGATTTTAGAAAATATCTTTTTTTATTATTAATTGTTTCGTGCTGCTGTCATTAAAGATTGTATAATATTATTATATTAATATTATTAATATTATTATGTAATATTATTAATATTTTTTTCATCCTGTCAGATTGTAATTCTGATAGTGTCATTTTTAAATTGTTAATTTTAGACCCCACATTAACCCTCTGGGGTCTAAGGTGTTTTCGGGGTCCTTGAGATGTTTTGGCATGCTCTGACATTTGTGCTTTTTTCAGTTGCTTATAAACATATTAATGGCACAGGTGAAATTACACTCTATATAGCACACACAGGGCTACCATAATATGTTATCAACATGTATGTACATGTTTGTATTTTTGAGAGAATATTGTTTATGCGTGGTTATTGAAAAAACTAAAAAATAAAGTTTCTAATATAAGGCCACAAATAACATACTAAATATCTGTCCACAAGACTTTTGACTAGTGGATGTTGTCGCCTTGAGTTTTTGCTTCAAATTGATCTGAAAATCATTCTGCCTAATCATTCACATAAAACAATAGATTGTTTTAAATTGTGAAAAACATTTTTTTGTTTGCAAAGGCAATATGCGGATGGGCGGAACGGCCCAACCCCCTCATGAATAATTAGGCAGTTCTCACCTGAGCAGACTGCATACTAATGAGCCTTTCATTCAGGGGTGTCACACAAGAAAGAATGCAAGGACAATATATATATAAATAAATAAATATTTATATACACACACACACACACACACACACACACACATACATATATATATATATATATATATATATATATATATATATATATACAAACAATCAAAATATAAATGAAAGCCAAAAGCACATTTTTAGTCACACCTTTTAGCCATCCACCACGGTAAAAATAAACCAGTCGCATTTCAAAGTCGTACGCGAAATGACCGCCAGGTGGCGCAAAGGGACATTTAGCAAAACGTAAGTGGGGCTAATGTCTATTAACAGTAGCCTAAGGATGAAATACTACAAGTTATGGTAATTTCCAAATAAGCCTACAACAAATTGTTGGTATAATCTATATAAGATATAATCTTTTAAAACTGTAAAAGGCTAAAGTATAGGCCTAAACTCACAGGCTAAAGTCAAGACAAAACGTTTTCTCGCTCATGTGAGAAACAAACGTTTGGGTACTATATATAGGCTATATATTTTTTTTTTTTTTGATTCCAGGCTCTCACGCCACACCCCCGATTTCTCACGCTGAAGTGTCAACCCGGTCGGTCAAATTCCTGAAAGATATAGTTTATCTATAGATCTACCTGTTGAGCCACTCGTGATCGACTAGTTATACCGCAAATTAGTTCAAATATCCCGTAATCTATCTAGAGCGAGCGTGCATGCGAGACAGATATTGTGCTCCAAACCGTGCGCGCGTATGGCAGAGAGGTCTGTTCCCTACAACCTAGAGTTTTTAAAAACATGGTTTTAAGTAAAGTGTGATTTGCCAGGGGGGACAGGGATTTCCTTCTGGTCTAAACATCCCTGCTTCTGCTGAATTATTTTAATCCCCACACCCCTCCCTCCACAGTTAATCAATGCTATAGGCTACTTCACCAATATCAAATATATAAAATAGAGATATGCAACAGGCACGTTTAAACGACAAACAATAAAATCAAAACCAGCGTTTCAGTTGTTCATTAGTTCCAGTGGCCCTAATGCATGCACGGCATTTCAAAATTTCACAAAGCGTGTTGAGATTATTTTGAATGAAATATTGAAGTTTATAATTAAGTGTTTTGGCACACAACGCCGAGTGGCCCTATGCATTTTTCTAAAGTCGGGTTTTATTCTGGCATGGTGAGTTAGTGTTCGACAAACGCGGCGGAGCGTTCATTTAGATTAATTTATTTTTCTCATTATTACAGCTAAAATAACTTAATAGGCGACTCCGTAATTTTTTGGTCATACAGATAAGAGTAGAGTAGCTTACATCGTTCAAAACTGTAAACTTGTATTCATATTAGGCTAACGACAAAAGTTTATCTGTCGTCTCTGTCTCCGGGAACTGCGCGTCAAGAAAAATGAACCGAAAGCCACTTCAGCTCAGTCACTATAAGAAATCGGCTATGTCTAAAGCCTTTAAATGTCTAAATATTTAGGCTAATAAATGTTATCTGATTATGTAGGCTAATCCATATGAAAACGAGAGGTACAGAGGATCTAGGCTACTCAAACATGTAGGCCTAATGTAAGCGCTTCCCAACGAGAAAATGACAAGACAAGGGTGAAAATCTCGCTCTAATTAAATGTAGGCTACATCGCCCTGAATTAAAATGTAAAAACAGATCAAATAATGTATTTGTCGAAATGTTGCGATATTGTTTCATTTAAGTTCATAATTATTATATAAATGTTATTTAATTTAGCAGCATTACCACGAAGCACCGTGTTTCGATGTTTATTTGAATAATACAAAATAAAATAAAAACTTAATTCACAAATTGCATGCCTGGTTGTAAGGATCCAAAGATCCCTGTAGACTTTAATATTGAGTTGAACATTTTGTTCATGACAACAAATTAACAAGCGTTTTTTCAGATTATATTTAGTTTTGCTTGGAAAAAGCTGTCCCAAACCAGTTTTATTTAATCAATTATTGAAATAATGAAATATTTAGTAATAAACTTTTATGACAGAAATATCACTAGGCTACATGTAACTTAAATAATTTAATTCCTTACGTTTTGTCTTGACTTTAGCCTGTGAGTGTTTAGCCTTTTACAGTTTTAAAAGATTATATCTTATATAGATTATACCAACAATTTGTTGTAGGCTTATTTGGAAATTACCATAACTTTATAGGCTACTGTTAATAGACATTAGCCCCACTTACGTTTTGCTAAATGTCCCTTTGGGCCACCTGGCCGTCATTACGCGTACGACTTTGAAATGCGACTGGTTTATTTTTACCGCGGTTGATGGCTAAAAGGTGTGACTAAAAATGTGCTTTTGGCTTTCATTTATATTTTGATTGTTTGTATATATATATATATATGTGTGTGTGTGTGTGTATATAAATATTTATTTATTTATATATATATTGTCCTTGCATTCTTTCTTGTGTGACACCCCTGAATGAAAGGCTCATTAGTATGCAGTCTGCTCAGGTGAGAACTGCCTAATTATTCATGAGGGGGTTGGGCCGTTCCGCCCATCCGCATATTGCCTTTGCAAACAAAAAAATGTTTTTTACAATTTAAAACAATCTATTGTTTTATGTGAATGATTAGGCAGAATGATTTTCAGATCAATTTGAAGCAAAAACTCAAGGCGACAACATCCACTAGTCAAAAGTCTTGTGGACAGATATTTAGTATGTTATTTGTGGCCTTATATTAGAAACTTTATTTTTTAGTTTTTTCAATAACCACGCATAAACAATATTCTCTCAAAAATACAAACATGTACATACATGTTGATAACATATTATGGTAGCCCTGTGTGTGCTATATAGAGTGTAATTTCACCTGTGCCATTAATATGTTTATAAGCAACTGAAAAAAGCACAAATGTCAGAGCATGCCAAAACATCTCAAGGACCCCGAAAACACCTTAGACCCCAGAGGGTTAAAGTTCTCCGTAGCTACGACGGATTTCCGTTAATTGCAGCGAGTCTACAATGGATTTCCGTCAATTGCAGGGTTCCTGCCTGTCCTTATGTTTTAAAGTAACACTATCAGGGCTCCAGACTAACTTTTTTCACCTCCGTCCTGGAACCGTCCTGAAAACCAATTTGAACCGTCCTAAAGTGAATGTCAACCGTCCCAAAATAAAACTGTTGTTTCTGTACTTTGTTATTATGATCTATAGTTATAGTTGTTGGTCGTTTTTTTGTATTCATGCAGAATAAAAATGTTTTTTTTCCTTTTTTTTTACATATAGGCTACGAAAATTAAGAGAAAAATACATACAGCTCAAAACGTTTTTGAGTTGGTTGAGTTGGTTGGATTAAACAATAACACATAAATACTGGTGACTAAATATCTCAAAGTGGTAATGTGTCATAGCTGATCATCTGGAAACGTGTTAATAAGAGAAAGGGCTTTAAAAAGTGTAATATGACTAGGGCTGGGCGATAAAACGATAACGATAATTATCGCGATATAATTTTTCTCGATAAAACGATATCAAGAGGTCGATAAATGTTCGATAATGTGTATCCGCCAAAAGCGGAACGAAACTCATTTGAACCGCGCGCCACACGGACCGTTTATCCGCTCGGCTCAAAGTCCAAACGCAGCGCGAGCTCACTAGAGCAGACGCATTTACTCTGATCGTCTCGCTCACGAGATCCAGTGAGAAGCGCTTAAGTTCAGCGAAGAACACAAATGTCCAGTTTAAATCAGTTTAAAGGCAGATGAAACAGCGCTGATAAACAGGAGAAACACTGCGCAGCGAAACAGTCAGAATCTGAATTGATACCTAATCCATTTAGCCTACCATGGATTTACTGTGAGGTTAGCCTAGTAATATTAACTGCACCATGAACTGTGGGATATACATATTGAATTGTATAATATTATTAATGTAGACAATGTATTAAATGACTAATGGAATATAATTACAGTATGTCATAATGTATTTAACTGTTAGGCTACTGTTTTTCATACAAATACCATAGAAACCATAAAGTTACATTTTGCCATGATAGTGAGGTGCCATAGGCTGTACCTGGCTTTATCTGTGGTTATCGTGGTTATCATGATCTAAATGCATGATACTGGATGACCAATGGTTAATTTTAATAAAACTCAAACAGTCAGAATATTACATTTTACCAAATAAAAATGTGGTCCTTAAATTTGAAAAAAAACAACAACAAACAGATGTTACTGTTTTTGTTAATGAAC